AGATCACTTGATGGTTGCTGATCATCAGTGTCTGCGCCGCCCATGGACACCCGCAACACTTAAGGAGTAACGAATGAACGAAGATACGGAAAACCTAGAGGGTTATTGGAGGTCCGGGAAGCAGGAGTAAGAACGGGGTGGTTTTTAGTCAGTAAGAGTCTGATACTCCCTCTCGTCAAGAGTCTAACCAAAGGGGGAGAGGGTTGAATTCGGTTTTTTTAAACGTAGTTCATAAAATAATTTTTTGTAATAATTAAAATTATTATAAGGCGAAATCACTGGTTAAAAGTAGTAAAGTAAAGTAAGCCATTTATCTTTGCTACGCTACGGGTCTACGGCGTAGCTCGCAGTGCTCAATGCTACGTGCTACGATACTAGCTACGGTGGCATAACTAGAGCGTAGGAGCATAGATAAGGTGTAGTATGTAATAATGTATTTTATTACGGTCTGCCTCGTTGGCCGTAGAGTCACAAGTGCAACTGCGGGCAAGAGGTATCGGGTTCGATTTCCGCGTCGGGCAAAGTAATAATAGGATTTTTTTTTAAATCTCAATAGTTGCACGGAATCTAGAATTGTTCCCGGTATATGGCAATAGATTCACGCCCATTACATGGGACTCATAACATAAATAGTGAAAATATTGCGACCACTCGGCCAATGAGGCAGTCACAGTAATTATACACAATATAATATTACTTTTACTATGTATAGCAAATCCTACGCATAGCTGCTCATGTAAATTCACCTAAAGAGCAACAGAATATGTCTCCGTCATTAGTAACGAGGTTCAGAGTGCGGAGCGCGAACGTGAGCTGCGCCTCCTGCCACGTACTGCAATTTTTAGCTACATCGCGCGACGTTGCCGGACTTCGCTCGACATATCGCGCGACATCGCTCGTTCGCAGCCAACACTACACCTCGGTGGGTGTCATGTTATCGACTGCCTTGTAAACCAATACTTCGTGATGGCGCCAGATATGTTATGTCCGACTAAGTTTCGCAACGTCATATGACTTCGTCTTACGTTTCGTCGCTGAGCATATAAGTCGTGCGTTGTCGCTATATTTGTCCGGCGAAATCGAAATTGGCCGGCTTCTTTTTTTTATGGAAAGTGGCACGAGCAGACGGATCACCTGATGGTAAGCGTTCAACGCCGCCCATGGACACACGGAACACCAGAGGAGTCACAGGTGCGTTGCCGGCCTTTTAACCTCTCGCGTGTTTCTCTTACCCACGGGTGTACGAGAGAGTTGAGTACCCATCGCGCAATTAATTGTACTCACGGGTGTACGAGAAACGCGCACCGATTGGATATTTTTTCTGTGACGTATATTTTCAAGTTTGCAACCCGTTCTTTATTTGATTGAACAGAATACTTAATTCGCTTTCTATTAAAATATTTACTCGTGTTTACGAGAGGCGCGCGAGAGGTTAAAAAGGAATACGCTCTTTTCTTGAAGGTTTGAAGGTCGTATCGTTATATATTTGATTCGCTTAACATGTCACCGATATATGTTGTGGCATAATATTTGTCCTCTGCTGTAACCTTGGCTTTAAACCATTGCCACTGCCTTCTTCTTTGAATTCAAATAAATAAATAACATATCGGTAAAACGGGGTGAATAGAATTCGAGGGGTGAATAGATACAGAAGAGGGGTGAATAAATGTTGGGAAAATATTCTAACATTTATTCAACCCATTCCTGTATCTATTCACCCCCTCGAATTCTATTCACCCCGTTTTACGGCAACTTTATTGCTAATTCTTATCAAATATTACATACTAGCTTTTACCCGCAGCTTCGCTCGCGTCACAAAAGGATAAAAAGCCAATGTGACATATACCAATACACACAGCGCCATCGATACCAATACTTTTGTTTTCCCTCGGGAATATCAAATTTTTCCGGGATAGAAAGTACCCTATTATTTAATCCGGACTTCTAACTTTACGTCTGCAAAAAATCAAAGCAATCGGTTTAGTAGTTACGGCGAATTACGATGTGGGCAGCGGAGGAGATCCAAATAACGCAACCAATTAATAAGCAAGTAGTTTATTAAAGGTTACAATGATATATTAAAACTAAGTACTTAAAATTAGCGTCCTAACGTCCCGATGTTAGGCGACGAAAGGCGACATGAGAAGTCGGCGAACGGTTTTTATAAATCGATCAATTCGTGTTGCGCAATCTCGATGAATGACGATTGTATGATGTTCCTGGTATCTGAGGGCTACCTCGGATATAACACCTCCCCCTTAAGATGAGCAACTATTTGCTAATATCTATGGCAAAAGTTGCGGCTCTCTTATCCGTTTCTGATAATTCAACAACTTCTTTATCTCCTTTAACTTTAATTGTCTTCATTCGCCGTATGAAATACATGCTAAGCAGTGCACCTGCACTTAACAATGCAATGATCATGACGTATAAAGGTATTGTTGTGTGGTATATGCTCGATGAATCAGCCGATTCCGTTTCGACATATCTTTCCATTGTAATTTGCCTTTGAATATTGTGTAATGTGTTCAGATCAATCGAAGTCAGGTGGTAATCCGTTTGCTTTTTCCGAGTATGATTAGTCATCCGTGGGAGCGCTGTTATTTCCACAGTGATTCCGTTAACTTTGTCGTCGATATTAACCAATGTAAATTCTGTGGATTTGATTTTGCAAGATTTAGGGATAGTTGCCAGGAAGCTGCCGTGTAATAGTTGATGTCTTTCTTTTCCACAGGATAGCAGAACTTTTGTAGGTTGAGGAAATGATATTATATAGTGCCTGCTATCTAGCTCTAAAAGAGCCTCCTTGTTCAGAGAGATAGGCGTGACTTGGCACGTTTCATCTACCTCCTGTAGTTGAATCAGTTTATCTATGCAATCCAATCCGGAACGAATTTGGTGGCTTATTTGCTGCTCACATATATGCCACTTGTCTATCTTCGGGCATTCTGCCTCTGTGTACACGAACTCCTTCAAGTTGGTCGCTACGTAAGGATAGGATGGAAGGATAATTTTACTATCTTTATTTGGTACAGGACAAAGTCTATATAAGTGGAAAATAGTAGGAATAGTGATAGGGAACTTTAGGACGACCACAATTTTCCTATCAACATAATAAGACTCTAAGCTAATTATATCATAGTAATATCTGATATCTAAGTCTATGATCTGATCTTGGCTATAAAGGTGCTTTAATTTGCTTATCATATTTCTTAATTCTCTTACAGATAAAATAGAATGGTGCAAAGACCTAGAACGACTAAATGCTAATATATTTTCTAACCTATTAATTTCGCCAGCTAACTCTTGTATGTTATCGCTCAGGATAACAAAAAGTTGAGCTATTTCTGCATTTTTTAACGCTCGCTCATTATCAGAAGTAGTCATATTAATGACGTACTTAAGAGCTTTATCTAACCTATGCTGATTGATACTTAAGTTGTTCAGTACATGAGTTTGCTGTAGTGTGAATTCTTTGAATAATGAAATATGCTCATTAATCTTAGTTGAAATTAGTTTATCATTTTTCTTTAAAATATTTCCAGTCTTTCGGAATGCCGTTCGTCACTAGAGTTCTAGCGGCGGCTCCAGTAATTTTATTTAGTATACCATTTAATAAGGCCACGTTAGATAACTCATATCCGGGTCCTGAGTTGGCATAATTAATTACCAATTTATCACATAATGCTAAAAATCTAATTAATGTATTACAATTACCATCAAACTCTGGTACCAACCTTAATGCCTTAACTATTTTATTAATCATTTCGTCTTGATTGACGGCACCTTTTTGCTCCATTTTATCTAAACTACTTAAATCCTCTAAATTGCGAGAAGCGTCCCTCTGCGCGATGCGGGAGGACGACCTCAGGGATTCGATACCCTCGAGGGATCGCGATGATCGTGGGTGGAAAATTTTGGGATAGGATATAGCTACCGACTGTCAGAAATTGTGCAACTCACATGAACATATCGGTGGCTTCCCGTCGTATCGATATCTGGATACACAGGATCTCTGGTGGCTGCTCTCGTTGGTTCAGGATTATCGACGACGCACGTTAAGACGTGGACAGCGCGCGCGGTGTGTCCCACACGATCGTAGATACGGTTACACGCACTGCCTCGACAATCCTACCGACTGCGCCAATTACGATGTGGGCAGCGGAGGAGATCCAAATAACGCAACCAATTAATAAGCAAGTAGTTTATTAAAGGTTACAATGATATATTAAAACTAAGTACTTAAAATTAGCGTCCTAACGTCCCGATGTTAGGCGACGAAAGGCGACATGAGAAGTCGGCGAACGGTTTTTATAAATCGATCAATTCGTGTTGCGCAATCTCGATGAATGACGATTGTATGATGTTCCTGGTATCTGAGGGCTACCTCGGATATAACAGGCGTGAAAGCAGAACAAACAAACAAACAAACAATTTATAATATTAGTAAGGATTCAAGGAGAATACTTGGACAATTGGCTATGTGCGCGACAGTGGCGACGCGTAGCGTTTGCAACATTTACGGAAGCTGTCAAATAATAACAATGTAAACATTATAATTTTCTTTGCAAATATAAATAAAACAAAAGATTAAAATAGTATTGTTGACATTATTTAAGTGCATTATTCAATAATAAAAACATTATTGAATAATAAAAACATTATTGCCTCATTGTCCGAGTGGTCGCAAGTGCGACTGCTGGGCAAGGGGTCTCGGGTTCGATTCCCGGGTCGGGCAAAGTATTACTGGGTTTTTCAAAAAAATCCCAGTAGTAGCACGGAGTCTGGAATTGTGCCCGGTATATGGCAATAGGCTCACCCCCTCATAACATAAATAGTGAAAAGTGGGTGTTACATTGTACAGTGGCATAATGTACACCTCTGCCTACCCCTTCGGGGATAAAAGGCGTGATGTTATGTTATGTATTGAATAATAAAAACCGAGTTTGCATCATCCGCATTTGTTTCCAATTTGTGCCGTGTTGTGCGCTGCGGTCGTTATCTGTCCGCCACTACTCGCTTTGCACATAGCCAATACCTTGCTAATACCCCGGAATTGGTTAACTTTATTTTTCCGATATATTGTAGGGAATATCGTAGGAACGTAGCTTGGACTTAATTGTTCCTCTGATTTTTTCCTCCAATAAAATGTTCACTACAAATTTTGTCGTGAGGTTTTGGAGACCATTGTGTACCATCAAAACATGAAAATAAAAAATTTACATTTGCTATTGAGGCCGTTATTTTTGCAGTTAACAACGTAATAACACTCATGGCCCATTTCTTTGCTTTGATTTTGTACTGCAATCAACACATTTGACAGCTGATCATCCGCATTTGTTTCCAATTTCTGCCGTGTTGTGCGCTGCGGTCGTTGCCTGTCCGCCACTACTCGCTTTGTACATAGCCAATACCTCAACCTTTTTCGAAACAAGAACCTTCTATCACTTGTCAGATGATCCGTATGTCAGTTTGCGTCAAAATTTTGTACTCTCAAAATGCTAAAAGTAAAATGTTAAAATTGAAAAATACAATCCAATATACAAAGCGTTAAGTTTTGCAAAATGGTTAATAAGAAGTCGAGAAAAAAATTTTTCGGAAGCTGCATGTTAAAATATCCTTGGGATGGGGAATGTCCTAGTGAGTTTCATTCGACATATAACACAGCAGAGTAGAAATATTTTCACCACCCCTCATCTTCCCGTGGGTGTCGCATACCCGAATAAGGGACTGCACATTTTGACAGAGGCCGAGCAGCAGCGCTCTCTGGTAAACCTGAACCTTTTAAACTATGACCTTTAAGCGTGAAGTCTGCCTCCTAAACATGGAGACGCTTTTGAGTAGAGGAGCCTCGGGTCTTTACTTGAATAGAACCAGCAAGTGCAACATATAACTTCTACCCATACGGGGACAGACGACCTGATAGAAGTCTGCGACCCTCGCTTGATGCAGGGTGCTTACTCTTGAAACCAATCTCAATGTCAATGCAATTTCAATCCAATAAAATCTCAATAATTATTCAATGTCAACACTATACAACCACAATCGTAGCTGTTACAATAGCATTCAGAGTACGGAATATAAAGACAAACTCAATACCATTTAGTTCATTCAATATCCACGCAATACGGATGCAATAGGCGCTAGTGTTGCAACTCAAGAGTACGAAATTTCACAATACCAATGTCGATCGATCAGAATTGGATTCAAGAGTAAGCCTCCAGGTCGCTTCTAACCTCGCGATGTGTAGCCTTTGGGGGAGGACTGTGGTGGGCAAGTGGACAGCACGTGACTGTTCACATGATGATGATGATGCTGAATATTTAAAGGAAAGGCGTGCTATCTTACCGATACCTAATATAATAGGGTAGATGCCTAATTTGTATTTTAATGTCCGTCTAGTAGGTTATTTTAAATCATTAGACACGTATTTTTTTATTTTCTTACATAATCGAATACTTTCGACGATATATTGATTTAAAATGTCGCGTGACGTCACTTCTATGTACATTTTATACGTAGAAATGACGTTTTAGCCCCCACTCCTAAACTTTGATTCGTTTTATCTAAGTATTGTTTTAATACCTATATGACAAAATAAAAAAATACGTGTCTAATATTTTTTAATTACCTAACTGACGGACTAATTACATTTTTAATTTTCATACCCTGTCATCATTTCAATTATAATGCGAAAGTTCTTGTGTGAGTTTGTGTATACGTTTCTTACTCATTCACATCAAAACGGGTGTAGTGATCGGGATGAAATTTGAAGTAGATTTATGGTCTTTTCATCTTACGAGAGAGCAGGTGACACCGCTGGCCGAAGCTAATATAAAATAACAAATGATTTAATTTGCAGCAAACTATACAACAGCAGATACCCGAACGCTGTCGTCGGTTAAGAGACCGCTGCCGTCGACCTAACAGGATCGCGTACCATCCATCTGGCAGCTCCGGATATGAAGAATACCCACAGGTAAATAATTATTTTTCTTTTTTTTTTAATTTCTTTTTTTTTTAAAAAAAACGTTGCCCCACATTAGGATTTTCTCCTGTATCGTGGGTGCGTTTACAAACATACAAGTTCACATACACAATGACACACAGACCCGAAACAACAATTTGCGGATCACACAAAGTGTTGTTCCGTGCGGGAATCGAACCCGCGACACGTTGCACGTCAGCCGGTTGCCCAGCCACCGCACCAACCGTGCAGTCATGAAATAATATTGAACCTTTTTTGAAGAAATCATCCAATGACTTGTCCCGCCTTGCATGAGGCTGGAGGGACTGTCAGTGTCAGACTCTTAGTGACTGAACACCACTCCTTTCCTACTCCTGCTGCGAGCTGGAGCCCCTGTAAGGGCTCGTACACAAAACTGCGAAGCGACGTCGCATCGCTAAAATGTGCGAGCTCCCTCTACACATCGCAAGAACTTGCGAATTTATTCGCATCGCGCATCAAAATCTTATCTTTCCAAAATTTTCTTTGTGTCTTTTTTTGTATCTCCTTAGCAATAACAGAAGTGCACACTTCTCGTTACAATACATGTCACGACCTAGTTTTCAATTTAAAATACATTTAGTACGGTGGACGGTCGTCGAAGGATTGGTCACCCTGGGAGACGCCTTGTCGTACTAAATCGCATCGTAGCAATTTGCATCGTAATTTTTTGCGTTGCGAATTCGTATCGCATCGCATCGCACGTTTGTGTACGAGCCCTAAACCCCAAGGCTGTCCGCATTCCGGGCTAGTTTAATAATAGCTAATCCTGCACAATTTTACCCGTTGCTGGGCGCCTATGACTATACCGTGATGCCACGAAACTAAAGCCTTCCTTTTCATTCTCGGTCTAGTTTTGGAAAAAAACTTTTCTTTCATTGAGCATATTAAGGCTATTAGTGAGAAAGCCAAAAAAAACTACATATACGGAGCAACCTACCTGGGATGCGTGTGCTACGGGGCACCTGTCTGGGCTGATTTTCTTTTTCTTTTTTTTTTTTTTTAAGGGGGGAAAATCATCGAATGACTGCTCCCACCTGGGTGAGGCGGGAGGGAGTGTCAGACTCTTACTGACTAAAAACCACCCCGTTCCTTCTCCTGCACGTCGAGCCGGAGCCCCGGTTACCCGTTAGGTTCTCCGCGACTCCGAATCGGCATCGGCCCTATTGGGCCCCATCTGTGGTGGTCTGATGGCTCTTTGAGGCGCGCGCGGAACGCGACGCGCCGTACGCTCGGGTCTGTTTCTGGTCGGACGGGGAGCCACCCATGCTCGCCGTCCGCAGGCCCGCGCTTACGGTGGCCGGAGATCGTCCCGCGATCCCCGACGCCCGGTGTGTCCTTCGCGATGGCTGGGTTGCGAGGAGGCAGCGCTTCGCTGCCTCACGCGTCCCGCCTCCTCCTTAGCTAGCATGACTGCTTCGCAAAAGGAGGAGACGGCATCCCAATCCCCCTCGCTCCGCATCATGGCCTGCACTAGGCCCGGACGCGAGAGGTCGCCATCGCCGATCACTTCCCTGAGGACACGGCGGTGCTCAGCCCACGCGCGATTCCCCTTCCTTGTGGCTGTACTTTGACTGGATATGCGGATGATGGCCTTTTGCTAGTACAGTCAAATACCCGCGCCGGACTGGAGAATTTGGCTAAAGACTGTCTCAGTAGGATCTCGCGATGGGGCGAACGAAATCGCTTAACTTTTGCACCCCATAAAACTTACCAGCTATTGCTTAAAGGAAATCTAAAGTCGTGGCCGTCTATTAAATTTAACAACGTTTCCGTAAAACGAAAGGAGTCGGTTTGCTATCTCGGTCTAGTTTTGGAAAAAAACTTTTCTTTCATTGAGCATATTAAGGCTATTAGTGAGAAAGCCAAAAAAAACTTCTATGCGCTGACGCGAATTTCAAAAGCCACCTGGGGTCTCTCTTTTCTTACGCTCAGGATCATATACGGAGCAACCTACCTGGGATGCGTGTGCTACGGGGCACCTGTCTGGGCTGATAGGGCCACAATAGGCGCGGTACGGCGAAAACTTCTTCAAGGCCAGCGTCTAGCCTTGATTTTCCTGTGTAAGGCTTATAGGACGGTTAGCACTGAAGCCCTACCTGTGCTCGCGGGCGTACTTCCGGTAGATCTTGAGGTGCAGCGACGTGCTGCTATGTACTACAGTGCGAGACCTAATTTGTCAGCAAGCTTTCTGGCAGAACGTGATAGAAATAAAATTGCAAGATTGTTTAAGCCAATAACGGACGTTTGGGATGAGCTTATAACTGAATGGCAGGGTAGATGGGCATCTTCTATTAAGGGCCGCCACCTGTATCAGTTCTTTCCATCCGTGCATGAGCGGCTGGAGAGGACATGGTTGGAGGTGGATCACTGTGTTGCCCAATTTCTTACTGGCCACGGCAACTTTAAAGGCAAATTGTTCTCATTTAAACTTATTGATTCACCATGGTGCCAATGTTCGACAGAGGAGTTGCGATACGAGCAGTCGGCCCATCACATACTCTGGGAGTGTGATCTCTGGCAATATGAACGTAACACTATGTTAAATAATTTAATTGTTTCGTCAGGTGTAGTTTATTATACGGACCTTGTGGAATCTAGAACGAATTTCCGTGCGTTTAGGCGTTTTTGCCATACCTATTATTGGAAGCAAGTATAACAGCTCACACATAGGACCCACTTAGTTTTTAGTCAAATTTCCGTGGTGCTTGGCGACTGGGCTTACCTAGTTGTACAGTCTCTTCTTTGTGCCTTTAGGCTTAATTCATTCTGTCTCCTGCAGTAATTCACCGAGGGAAGTGAAAACCATAGTTTTTCTTCTTCTCCTCTTATAATATCTTCTGATTCACTTCGTTGCGGGAACCAAGACAGTTACTCATGTCCCTGGGACGCGCCGGACTTCAGTGTTCCGGTGTTTTCATGGTTGTATCTACTGTAGATCCTGGCTTACAGGAGTTGCAGCGGTTTTGGGAGGTAGTGGCGGGCTTGTCCCATTAAAAAAAAAATTCTTAACTTAAAGTGTGGGAGAGCCATGCTTCGGCACGAATGACCCGGCTCGACCGGAGTGATACCACGGCCGAGCAGAAAACCGACGTGAAGCAACGCTAGCGTTATAAGTGTATGCGTAATGCGTAAATAACTAACAGAATACTACTTTAATTTGCATTACATAACTTGCATTACAAGCTTGGTATAAACCACAGGTCCATGGGATTAAAACGACTAAAATTGAACGGTGTAGAAGTATAGATAACAAACAACAACAAACAAATATTATACTTATTTTTCATTTTGTTCACTTATACTTAATCTAAGCTTAATTATTTAACTATTCTAGGTAAGCTACACTACAATATAATGCCTGTAAAGCAATAAAACTGTACCACAGGCTTTGTGGTCGCGTGCATTAGGATTATATATAAATAAGCCTTAACCCTTAAGGCATTGGCTGCCAATAAAAAACTATTGAAGGCAAATCCTCCGCTAATGTCGGTCACCAGTGACTGCCATGGCGTTTAACGTGTTAATCGGGTACAGGGAATTATTTTCCCATCATGTTCCCACCCGTCATAAGCAGTCGTATATTTTTAAAATGGCAACTCCCCAGTCTCTGATTTTCCTAAATATATTCTTGATTAGTTACTGATTTATTTTATTGAATCCCTCGTTTTACACACTGATTCTCCATCTCACTTTCAAGTAAACAACTTGGTGCATATTTATTTGAGGATTGAGGAACATACATTAAAAAGTAAAGTCAGTGTAAGTTACTAGTCTATTAAAATGTTTTGACGTAATCGGGCAAAGGGAAACAATTTCCCACACGAAAAAATCCTTTTCTTTTCAGTTTCAGTAATTTATTTTGTTTTTATTTATGTACACTGCTATCTAACACAATACAAGAACTTAGGTACACTTAAATCATGAAAAGTAATTTTTTTGTTCGGCCCGATAAGGGTTAACAAAATTATTTATACAGTCACCAATATTACAAAACCTTACGTATATACCTTTGAGCATTAATCACCACGCTTGCTCAATGCAGGTTGGCGATTACAAACGTATAATTAGAAATTATAAGCCCAGGTTTCCTCACGATGTTTTCCTTCACCGTTTGTCAGTGGTGTCTAGATCTTAGAAAGTAGGTACATATAACTCGGAAAAAGTCACATTGGTACTTGCCGTTGGTAGGTTTCGAACCTGCATCCGCATGCATGAGAAGAGGGCTTCTTAAACCTCTAGGCCAACACAACTTTGTACTCTACCTCTGTATTGATATAGCCAGGAGCGTACCTACCGCCGTATCGTCCGTATCAATTATATACGGGACCCCCAAACTACGGGGGCCCTGAACGGGCGTAAGCAAAGATTAGTAAAACCTTGGTAATTATTATTTTTGTCGTCGTGGCCCGGAGGTTAAGACGACCGCTTCTCATGCATGAGGGTGCGGGTTCGAAACCACGGCAAGTATCAATGTGACTTTTTCAGAGTTATATGTACTTTCTAAGATCATTTAGACACCACTGACAAACGGTGAAGGAAAACATCGTGAGGAAACCTGGGCTTATAATTTCTAATTATAAATTTGAAATCACCAACCCGCATTGAGCAAGCGTAGTGATTAATGCTCAAACCTTCTCCGTGTGAGAAGAGGCTTTACTCAGCAATGGGCATTTAATGGCTGTTGAAGATGAATTTTTATTTTGTTTACTAGTCACAACAGTCAAAGTAAACAATATTTTTCCCGTGTTCAAAGGTCGACAGAAATTGTAGAATAACTAAAATAACCATAGCTGATTATTAATTTTATTAACTCTGTAATACACACAATTAAATAAGGCACATATTTCGGCCTTTTGGGATTAGGAATTTGCGGATTGGGAAAGGACCCACCAAGGGGTAATTGGGCCTCCGGTAACCTCACTCACACGACGAAACACAAAGCAAGCGTTGTTTCATGTCAGTCTTCTGTGACGCCGTGGTATCACTCCAGTCGAGCCGGCCTATTCGTGCCAAAGCATGGCTCTTACATACTTAATGTCATAGGGCATTTTGTCCCAGTCAACCTTCGGGTTAAGTAGAGAATCAGCGAAAATAGGCTAGTTTTTATAATAACTATCGTGAGACATACTAACCCGCGATTTTAATTAATTTAGGCTTGTTTTGTATTATTTAGTAGACAAAGGGAAAGTTTGGCGGTTTTTCAATAAATTATATTATTATTTTATGCACATTGTGTTGTCCTCTTGTGAGAATCTTTACCGTTCATAAAGGCCCAACAAATTTTTATACGGGGTCCCCGCCAAGGCGTGCAACGCCACTAACAGCACTAAAATACTAGTACCTAGATTACTTGACATTAGTCAAAATAGTCATCATCATCATCATCATAACATCACGCCTTTTATCCCCGAAGGGGTAGGCAGAGGTGCACATTACGGCACTTAATACCACTGTACAAACTCCCTTTTCACTATTTATGTTATGAGACCCATATAATAGTGGTTAGCCTCTTACCATATTCCGGATTTCACAATTCCAAACTTCGTGCTACTACTGAGAAACCCAGTAATACTCTGCCCGACCCGGGAATCGCACTTGCCACTACTCGGCCAACGAGGCAGTCAAAATAGTCTAGTAATAAATTGTATTGTTTCAGGACCGCTACAAAATCACCCACGCCAACAGTGGCACTCAGATGGAGTATCACAGATCCACTCAGAAATATGAAGCTGATCACCGAAGCACACAAACAGAACCGAGCAGCTCACAACCGTACAAACCAACGTACTCCAGCACCACTACTATAGCCTACGGACACACTCCCAACCACCCCAACCGGGGGACCCCGAATTATGCCCAGGGGAGCCAACCACAACCCGGCGGTTACCCCCAAACCCAAGGCGGGACTTACCCCCAGAATACTGAGTATCCAAGTGGAGGGCCGTATCAACGAGGATACCCGCAGTCTTCTGGACAGGTGACGATTATCATCTCATATCTAATTGTCGTCAGCATTATACTCAGGTTATGTTATCTTTATATACACACACGCCTTGAACGCTCGCGCGGCGCGCGCGCTTACGCGCTGTGTACGTCTCCGACTTAAAGCCTATTTTCTACCATTCTACAACTGTTATAGCAATTTAAAACTACCAGTATAAAACTGACATTCTAAGGAATACAAATTTGTAAAGATTAAATAGTAATTCTTATCGTAAACATCACAAAAAAAAACGTTTATCTTTAGAATAATAGTGAAATTTGAGTTTTTTTTATTACAAGTTTGTACGAAATAGTTCGTAATAATATACCTTCTACGTTGCTTTTAGAAACTAGATGAAACAACCTTTTTTTTGATGCCAATACATCATTACTCGATTTGACCGAATCGATTCGATTTTAGAACTCGATCCATTTACCACAGGCAGTTCCAGGATGCGTAGGCGACTAAACCTTAACTTTTTTGAATGAATATCATGTTTTATACTTAGTGCATTGCATTCGCAAAACCTCTGTAAAGATATACTGTGGCTAGCCGCTAGCCTATAATTGTCTTTGTATTAGCATATCCTGAAATATTATTCTTTGTAATATAGCTGTTGGTTACCCGAATTAAAATAAATAAATAATTAATAAAATAAATAAATAAATAATAAATTACTTAGAACTAACAGTATAACATAATAAATCAAAACAAACTATCCATTCCGGTACTTAAAGAAGGAAGTTAATAGGTTTTTAGGTGTCGGCACGGCGCATGCGATTCCTCAACTGTTGCAAGCGTAAGGCTACGGTAACCTCAAGGTAATCGCCACTTATTTTATGTCAGATGGAATGAAGTTCGCAGTCATCAGTCAGCCATTTTGTGGAACCGGTATCACCGAATTGACATATCGAAAAATTAGGGACTATGACGGTCAGTTTAAAATGTTAGGATGTCAAATTGATCGCACTTAACTAACACGGTTACAGCACGGCGCCATCATGGCGTCTTTTGCTTTAGAAACAATAAAAAAAGGTTTTAAGCGCGCCGACGGCTCGCAAGCGGAGCGCGGACGGCGCGCGAGCGTTGCGCTTACAGCTTTTTATGTTGACGTTATAACTTGCGATTTAAACTGTCAAACACCGCACCGCAAGGAAACCGGTGACCGCAACCTATTGTTCTATAATTGTGTCTATAATGGCGGTACTCAAAGGGTAGTTCAATATTTAAATGACAAGTTAATTACTGGTTTGGAGCCATGCCTTAATTTTGTCGTAATTCCTCCGTTTCTTTATCATCGATAGGGTAAACAGAGCAATTATGTTATGAGTCCCATGTAATCCCTACTATTAACGGTGACTATATGTCTAAGATTTGTCAAAAGTCTAAAAACACTCAATGATACTTTATCTGACTGAATCAAACCCCTTTTGCAATCACTCGATCATGTTCGACAGTATTTATGACATTTCATTAATATTTTTTCAGCATACATACCCAAATCAACAACAAGGCGGTTATCCTCCACCCCAAGGAGGATATGGTTACCCTCCACCCCAACAAGGAGGCTACCCTCCACCGCAGGGAGGATATGGGGGATACCCACCTCAACAGGGTGGATATGGGGGTTACCCACCTCAACAGGGTGGATATGGGGGATATCCACCACAACAGGGGTACGGTAAGAAATACTACTAAAATGGTAGATATTTTTAATAGTGTCCATCCAGCGCGGATTTCTTTTCAGAAAAGGACAGGATGAACTAACGCTGTTCGGTTAATTTTGTCTGGAATTTAAAAATGACTGTGGCCTTTGTGTTTTTTTCTATTTCTTCTTAGAGTAATTAGATAGGATTTATCGACCTCATCTGGCTTAGTTTTAAAATATTGACGTGTGTTTTTCAATACCGTTTTTTATTGTAACGTGTGCACCAATTGGCTGCAAAGTTTTGGCGACCCACGACACACGATAGGTACGGCATGCAAGTGTGGGTCTCACCGTAGCAAATGTATGTCGTGGTGTGTCAGAAGCATACCGTTCACCTAATGTATATAATCCCCCCATTAACACGTTAAACGCCATGGGGGTCACCGGTGACTGACGTTAGCGGAAGATTTACCTTCAACAGTTTTTTATTGGCAGTCAAAGGCTTAAACTGTCAAACACCAAGCGGTCACCGGTGACCGCAACCTATTGTTCTATAATTGTGTCTACAAAACCGGTACTCGACGAGTTAAACTGTCAAACACCAAGCGGTCACCGGTGACCGCAACCTATTGTTCTATAATTGTGTCTATAATGACGGTACTCGACGAGTTAAGGTTAGTAATAATTTTACTTATACTAAAAATATTTGTCTTTCCATGTAAGGTCCACCACAGCAACAAAATCCAACGGGTGGTATGGCGAATAAGGCAGGCATGGCGGCATGCATAGCCTGCTTAACTTGCTTCTTCTGCTCCTGTTGCCCAGGGCTCATGGGGGGAGGCATGCAAGGAAACGACGTTGAGGGCGGAGGCGTAGATGGCACCGCAAATGTTTCGTCTCCTGCCGACGACGACGACAACTAGAAATCATACTAGGATATATAATAGCTTAAAGCTTTAGTTGACAGTGACAGTCTATAACTAGTGTTGCTAGTATAAAAAATTAAAAAGCTACCACTTTAAATGGTTAACCGTTTGAAGTTTGTGCTGTTCGTTGAAAAATTGTTGTGATGTTTTCTTACCAAGCTTATTTTTTTGATGTAGGTAGTGACTGTAATTTTCAACAGTATATTGTCATTTGATCAGAAACTTGATATTTTGAGGCTGAACTGCAAATATGATTTACTTCTCCTAATTCTATTATATATCATTGTGTTGTAATTAAATATGAATATTAGATTTATGCAGCGTTTACCACAAATTTTATAAAATCTAAATCTGATTTCATGTTTCCTTACGATATTGATGATGGATTTTTTAAATACCGTTTCTATATTGTTATCTTAAAACGTATTGAAAATGCAATCATGTCAAATAACCGATTCAGTAGTACACTGGCCAGCAGTGACCAACCTACTCCAATCTATCAAATGTATTGCGGTCACCAGTGACTGCTCTCCACTACCTCTATTATAGACCTTATTTCCGATGTTTAAAGACTACATTTGTATATAGGCTCTGGAGGAAAGCTATTGTGGATAATGACGCAGCCGAGTCTGCGATGTGCCCTCGACAGTTGTTCGAGTAGTTGAAGCTCATAAGCGGCGATGTTAATGGCGAGCTAAGCCGTCTGTCCGATAGGCATTCTGGCCAATTGAGATGTCGTAATGACAAGTTGATAGATAAACAAATTTTATTTATCAACGATGTATGATAATTATATGGATTAAACTGTCAAACACCAAGTGGTCACCGGTGACCGCAACCTATTGTTCTATAATTGTGTCTATAATGACGGCACTCGACGAGTTAAGTTAGGTTCTTGGAAGTCCAATCCCCTTCTCCCCCTTCCTAAAAGGCTGATAACGCACTTGTGATTCCTCTGGTGTGCGAATATCTAATCGTAGTACTGATTACTTACCATCGAAAGATCCGTCTGTTTATACCAGATAAAAGAAGGACACTAATATCAAGTGTAGGAAAGCCATGCTTCGGCACGAATGGGCCGGCTCGACCGGAGTGATACCACGGCCGAACAGAAAACCGACGTAAAGCAACGCTTGCGTTGTGTTTCGTCGTGTGAGTGAGGTTGCCGGAGGCCCAATTACCCTCCCCTTCCCCAATGTCCCCAATTCCCGAATCCCCAACGATCCTCAAACTCCTAATTCCCCAAAAGGCCGGTAACGCACTTGTAACGCCTCTGGTGTTCCAGGTGTCCATGGGCGACGCCGATTGCTTACCATCAGGTGATCCGTGAGCTCGTTTACCAGCTTACTCCATAAAAAAAATTAATAGCCGTTCTCACCAACAATCTCTTAACTAAAAGTTACTTAGCGTGAATTAGCACCTGAACCTAAGTCCTTACTTGAATTGTTAGGTGAAACTTATAGATTGGTGAAACTAAAACGTTAAATTTTATTAATCTCAGTTAAAGGGTTCCTTAAAACTTAGGAGAGGGTGGTCAAAATGTTCGCTAAGTACTTTATATTTGTTCGATTTCAATTGAATGTTACTTTCTATTCATCATCAACAGCCTATAAATGCCCACTGCTGAGCAAACCCTCTTCTCACACGGAGAAGGTTAGAGCGTTAATCACCACGCTTGCTCAATGCGGGTTGGCGATTTCAAACTTATAATTAGAAATTATAAGTCCAGGTTTCCTTACGATGTTTTTCCTTCACCGTTTGTCAGTGGTGTCTAAATAATCTTAGAAAGTACATATAACTCGGAAAAAGTCACATTGGTACTTGCCGTTGGTAGGTTTCGAACCCGCACTCTCATGCATGAGAAGTGGGCGTCTTAAACCTCCGGGCCACCACGACATACCACCACTTTCTATTCAATCATAAGTCAAAATGTTCTGTAGCAGAACTTCAAAAATGAGACATTTCCTTTATTTTAACTACTGACGATCTTGTGGTACTAACAAACTTATATTTCCGAATAAATTATAATAAACTAAGCTTTTTAAATTTCAACACAAAACTTTGCTTCACAAGTTTTGACTGTTTTCATATTTGATTGAAAAGAAAGTGAAGGACTCCGAGTACCTATTTAACTCGTTGAGTACCGTCATTATAGACACAATTATAGAACAATAGGTTGCGGTCACCGGTGTCCTCGCGGTGTTTGACAGTTTAAAACTGCTATTATAGTATGTTAATGATTTTTTTTCTGAATTAAAGTTAAAAGCAATGTCAGGCATAATCTTCTATTTTACTTATAGACTTTATTAGCATTGATGTTTCCAACGCCGGATGAATTTTATCAGAGTTATAACTTAAAATATTTCATCGATTCTTCCTTACTTAAATCTGTCAAATTTAATGTCAATTTTATTCTACACAGAAGAATTATCTATCAATTGATAAATCCAGCGTAAGGGCTGTTTCGCCTCACACACACGGGAGCATTTCCTCGATAAATGGACTATCCAATACAAGAAGAATTTTTCACATCGGGCCAGTAGTTCCTTAGATTATCGCGTTTAAACAAACAAACAAAGTTCAGTTTTATAGAGGTAATATGATAGTATAAAATATTTGAATAGAACTTTAAAGTGTGGGAGAACCATGCTTCAGTACAAATTATCCTCGAATCCCTAATCTCAAAGGGTCGTCATCCCACCTGTAACGTTTTTCGTTTTACGGATGTTCATGGACGGTGCCCATTGCTTACCATCAGGTTATCCTTCTGCCCTATTCCATAAAAAGCGTGCGTCAAAATGCAAATATATCATTATCTCAGCTCAAATATGAGTAGCGAATTGCTTCCAATAAAGATTAGAGGAAATTTAAATACATTTTGACGTAGCTTTTTTTAAGTATTTCATGAAGAAGGATTGGAAAGGGTTTATATACTGAAGTGCATCGATAGTTGGAAGGCTAATTGATCTAAGCTACATTTTTTGTGATATTGTTTTATACCTACACCACGACACAGGAAAATTCGCTGATTCCGAACATGTATTTCAACTCAATATCGCAAAAGATGTCGCTTAGATCAATTAGGCTTTCAACCATCGATATGATGTTTACATTTTTAATTTTAAATTTTTTGTATGTTCATATTTAGTAAGTTTTAGTTCAGAACTAGTTATTTATCCGCAAAAACAAGGACATTGACAAAAAGGCGGACATAGTCTCTTGAAACAACGACTGTGGCAACTGGCTACTATAGACTTACATGCAGAATACACACACATTGACACGAAGGACATCTATCGCGTGACATGGCCTATCAATACACTTCATACATTACGGTGTTGCAAGTTTACGTATACTCCACTTTAAATACACCACTGACATTTTGCCGCTTCAATCATTTCCAAGTGACATTATATGCTACTAACAACTAAAAACTACCGCAAAGTTAAGTTCGACGGTTCATTAATCTGCCGTCACCACCCGACACTGGCAGTATAGTCGACAACTTCGTTTTGGAGACTCGGTTGCCAAAGAGGAAAAAAAATGTGACATTACGTTCAGTTTTTTTTCAACGTCCTTGCGCAAAAGTTGATCCATTCATTTTACCTCGTGTAAAAATATTTTTGTAAATTATCTAAGATTCACTGATAATAAATATAGGTACTACACAATAAAATACAATACAAAAATTTCACTTTTACATAACGACATAAACTTATTTATTTACTAGCTGAGCCCGCGACTTCGTCCGCGTGAAATAATTATTCACAGCTCATCCCCCGAAAATTATAGCATGATAATATGTAGCCTATATGTTGACTAGATCTGTTTGTAATATTCATGCAAATTTTGAAGTAAATCCATGCACTTTTTGAGTTCGTCCCGGACATACATACAGACGAACAGACAAAAATTCTAAAAACCATATTTTTTGTTTCGGTATCGACTGTAGATCACGCCCGAAGCATTTTTTTTTTAAATATTCGTTGTACAATTTTCACTTTCCGACGATTTTATTATAAGTAAGTATATAGATTACTTACTTTTCTGCATTATATTACTTTATTCATTAATCACGTAACTGTTTGAGGAGGAACTCAACTAGTTTCAAACCATGCTATATAATCATGAGCAGCATTCCGCGACACACGACGCCGCACTGCTACTAGTTCCTCGAATTTGCTGTGGTGCGGGCCCAGTGCGCCCACTGCCAATTAAGTAATATAGTCAATAGAAAAAGAATCATGATCTTCTTTTATTGATCATATCACTTATTTGGCATATCTTAGTCTCTGAAATAATAAAGCTGCTTTTAGTAAATGTAATGCAATAAATACTTTATGATTTATCAGATATAACGTATTTGCACATACATGCGCTCATGAATCATATTCACATCTTCAGCATTTTGAAAAAAGACAATTTAATTTTATATTTTTAGAAACTATAGGATTACGTTATTACAACAATTCACGTATGTTCATTGATTGTCATGTATCATTTGAGATTATTAACTCGTCGAGTACCGGTTTTGTAGACACAATTATAGAACAATAGGTTGCGGTCACCGGTGACTGCTTTGTGTTTAACAGTTTAAACTCGCTGCATAAATTGTAAATTCATGTTTTATCTTTCAATTATATAAATAACTCATTGTTATTATAATTTAATAATAACCTGATGAGGTTTTTACCCGCTTTTTTATACTTTTTAAATATCAATTTCAAGTTTTTTTTTCAGTAGATAATTTGTTAGCCCTCAATTAATATTGAGTTATAAACATTATCATTGTTGCAAGTCTCTATTCATCAAGTTTCTTATCTTATGATAATATAATCAAAACCATAAGACCGTATACTTAGAATTTTTAGTTACATATATTTGAATAATTTCTTTTTAATTCCTATCTAATTGTGCTGTGTATGTGTATTGTACATTTGTAAACCCACTCTCTGATACCATAGCATACGGTAGAACACGATTTATGAACCTAATATAACATCATATAAGATTTGGTAAGCAATGTAAACTTTTTAAATGCTTTTATTATATATTATGAAAATGTAACTCCAAAGAGTCGCTAACTTATTAGCAGAATTCTGAGAATTTAAGGATTATCATTATTGAACAATATATTGAAAGGTAACCCTTGGATAAATAGGAATACATATTTATCCTTAAAAAGACACATTAGGAAAATTAATTTGTACACATTTTAATTTGTGGGAACGCCTAGGGGAGATCACGGGAAATTCTTAGATTTTTGCTAAAGTTAGTAACGTTTATTCTAAACTAGCGATTCATCTTTGGTATAGCAGGGTACTTTTCACTGACTTTACTCAATAATTTTATACGTCGTTTTATCAAGTCCTAACAACAACGAATACGCAACAATAAAACCAAGGATACACTTGAGGACATGTGTCCTGCGACACGTGTCGCCAGCGACGTTGGGTGAAGTAGCGCGATATTGCCGGACTTTGGTCGACATATCTGGCAGCATCAATGTCACTATGGACATAGTTGCACGTTGTCACCGTATATGTTATTTATGTCAGATGTCAGGTGACTTCGGTCAGCTACACTCAACATGTCGCCGTTACATATCGTGGGGTATTTGTCCCCTAGTGTAACCATGGCTTAAAAACGAATTCGATGCAGCCATTCTAGAGTTATATGCTTACAAACATCTTTTCTCCCTCGATTGGCTGTAATAGTCTGCTCCTTAACGTCAGCTGGTTACAAAGTCAGTGTACCTACTATCTACAAACCGTGGCCTAGCCTTTGTCTTCAACTGTCCTAAATTCTGATTAAGAATATGCGATACCTGCCAATACCAGCCTGGCTCTTTATTCCATTCCATTCTAACTCATAATTGTTCTATGGCATGCTTCCTTACAGTAGTAGTAATCTTGTCTTGACATTATTAAGATCCACTGGACATAATCCTCGTCCTATTCGTCTCTCTATTATACAAAACTCCCTCCTTAGTCGCCTTAATGATCATCCGTCTAAGACACGAATTTTTTAAATAGATTTCTAACCTTAAGATTTTGTAATAAAGTTAAAAATCCAGTAATGAAATACCTATCTTGAGATCACTTTCTGCAGTAATCCTGCTAAGA